TTACTAAATTTCATACAAAGCTAGACAAAAGAGAAAATAGTATACTCTATAGTCCTGTCCTGAACGATGCATGATGCACGATGCAGTACCGGTTCACTAGCTGTGCGTGGCAATTTTCTCCTCGTTTTGATTAATGGGATTCCGATTAATTTCCAGACAATAGTGCCGACTAGTAACAATTACCGACAAAATTAGCGAAATGCTCTCCACTGAATTATTAATTAAAACATGTCCCGGTTCTACCGCATACGACGTTCCAAATCAATCTCCATGAATAATATATCCGTACGAAGTTGTAATGTAATTCTCTAAACCTATTGGGTAATAAAAACTGCTCATACTCTAATATAATCAATAATGGTAATTGATTTTTAAATAAGACATTCTCTAAAATACATTTTTATACAGTATCTCTACGGATCGTCATTACAGGAGAAAAAACTTACTTTTTATTAACTTTATGAGAAAAAAAGCATTCCCTCTAAAGGTTTTTCCTCATTCGAAAATGGTTAATCCTATTTATACTTTTCTAAATTTTCATACAGTATTACTCGTAGAGAAAAAGGAAAAAAAAACACACAGGCTGTATTCCGTTGCAAAAACAGGTGAACCAGACCTGTAAAGTCCGGTAAGAGCGGTTCCTGAAAAACATCCGTTAGATACGGAACGGTTTGGTAAAATACTGGATATGTCAAATGTTGTCGTTTTCTAAATTTCAATACCTTTATTATACAACTTATTTTTTACTCATTTTTAATATATTATGTTTTCAATGTATGATGTTTTTGATGTACCTATTCTCTGATTTTATGCTTGATTCTTCTTTTCAATGGAGTTCAGTAGTGAAAAGTATTTTATTAATCAACTGTTAAACTTCGTCAAACAGCTCAAATGGTGAGGATGTGCAGGTCCGTGGCCACATAGGAAATTGATCGATATTAAAATAAATCAATAATAAATAAATAAATCTAATCAATATTTATATTTTCATAGTTTACAAAACATTCATAATAAAATTGTCTTGTCTCACTTCTCGTGATTTCGTTCAGTGTTTCTAACTTTAAGAAACAATGGCCGCATGATAAGTTTCTAACCAGACCTGTAAAGTCCGGTAAGAGCGGTTCCTGAAAAACATCCGTTAGATACGGAACGGTTTGGTAAAATACTGGATATGTCAAATGTTGTCGTTTTCTAAATTTCAATACCTTTATTATACAACTTATTTTTTACTCATTTTTAATATATTATGTTTTCAATGTATGATGTTTTTGATGTACCTATTCTCTGATTTTATGCTTGATTCTTCTTTTCAATGGAGTTGAGTATTGAAAAGTATTTTATTAATCAACTGTTAAACTCGTCAAACAGCTCAAATGGTGAGGATGTGCAGGTCCGTGGCCACATAGGAAATTGATCGATATTAAAATAAATCAATAATAAATAAATAAATCTAATCAATATTTATATTTTCATAGTTTACAAAACATTCATAATAAAATTGTCTTGTCTCACTTCTCGTGATTTCGTTCAGTGTTTCTAACTTTAAGAAACAATGGCCGCATGATAAGTTTCTAACCAGACCTGTAAAGTCCGGTAAGAGCGGTTCCTGAAAAACATCCGTTAGATACGGAACGGTTTGGTAAAATACTGGATATGTCAAATGTTGTCGTTTTCTAAATTTCAATACCTTTATTACACAACTTATTTTTTACGCATTTTTAATATATTATGTTTTCAATGTATGATGTTTTTGATGTACCTATTCTCTGATTTTATGCTTGATTCTTCTTTTCAATGGAGTTCAGTATTGAAAAGTATTTTATTAATGAACTGTTAAACTCGTCAAATAGCTCAAATGGTGAGGATGTGCAGGTCCGTGGCCACATAGGAAATTGATCGATATTAAAATAAATCAATAATAAATAAATAAATCTAATCAATATTTATATTTTCATAGTTTACAAAACATTCATAATAAAATTGTCTTGTCTCACTTCTCGTGATTTCGTTCAGTGTTTCTAACTTTAAGAAACAATGGCCGCATGATAAGTTTCTAACCAGACCTGTAAAGTCCGGTAAGAGCGGTTCCTGAAAAACATCCGTTAGATACGGAACGGTTTGGTAAAATACTGGATATGTCAAATGTTGTCGTTTTCTAAATTTCAATACCTTTATTATAGAACTTATTTTTTACGCATTTTTAATATATTATGTTTTCAATGTATGATGTTTTTGATGTACCTATTCTCTGATTTTATGCTTGATTCTTCTTTTCAATGGAGTTCAGTATTGAAAAGTATTTATTAATGAACTGTTAAACTCGTCAAACAGCTCAAATGGTGAGGATGTGCAGGTCCGTGGCCACATAGGAAATTGATCGATATTAAAATAAATCAATAATAAATAAATAAATCTAATCAATATTTATATTTTCATAGTTTACAAAACATTCATAATAAAATTGTCTTGTCTCACTTCTCGTGATTTCGTTCAGTGTTTCTAACTTTAAGAAAGAATGGCCGCATGATAAGTTTGAATGGTCCTAAAAAGTCACTCTATTTAGTTAATGAAATTTCTTTACCTTTACTACGTACCTCCATTGCTTCTACGAAATAATAACACAAATTTTATAAATTAAATGAGAATAACAGGTAAAACGTTATATTTATACAGGGTTTAATAAATAGACAAAAAACAACTTTTAAAAATATGTAAAGTCGAAGCCTATAATGATGTAACACCAAACAGTGGTCTAAGTAAGTAATGACGGAAAGCAGGGGTCCGGAGTATCCAGTGGTATTTTACAAAAAATACCATTTTATTTTTTAGATTTCTGTTTCAGTTCGCGAAATATCCATTCCTTTTTTTCCTGAAATGCCCCCGCCACTGGGATATACAAGGTGGTCCAAACTGTATTCCTAAAACTAAGTAAAATAAGTAAAATTCGTATAAAATGTATGTCCTAAAATGCTTAGTTTCGGAGATACAGGGTGTAGAAGTTTCATTTTTATTTCGATTTTTTCCAAATAATTTATGAAGTAATGTCAATATTTGGATGAAAATTGGTGTGTGGGAGTTTTTTGACATGAGAAATTTGATTTTGATGTCAGTATGACTCCTACTTGTAGAGGGCGCCACCTACATATTTTTTAACTGGTTTGAAGAGTAATATAAAAAGTATAACTTTTCTTCCGTACCAATATAAAACTAATGAGTAAAATAATATACGTTTACAACGTTTTTTATGTAAAAAAGGTCTCTTGGGAAAAATCGCTAAGAGTAATGGTTCTGGAAATATTATTTGGAATTAAAATTATCAATACCTATCATCTTTGACATAAATTAAACATGTTGACTAAATAATTATTAGACTGAAATCAAAAATTTCAAATGTTTTACTGCCAAAAGTTCAACAGAAACTGTTTTACTATCATTTTTTCTAAGAAAAATTTATGATTAACTTAAAAAAATAAAAAGTTTTCAAATTTATCATTTCAGTCAAATAACTGTCTACTCGACATGTTTATTTTTTGTCAATAATGACATATATTAACTAGTTCCATTCCATAGATAAATGCAACAAGTTTAGATTGGAAAGCCCGTAAAAATTTTGGATCGCGAAATTATTTTGGGTCGCGACCGTTATACGCGATCTGGCGCTGCTATAGCGGTCGCTAAGAACAACGGCAAACAAAAACAGAAATAATTTTCTCTTGTCAAAGTCAGAATCTTCAAAAATCATAATAATCTTTCAAAATCTAAACCGCTCTCATTAAAGAAATTCCGAAAAATGTTTATAGCGTTCATTTTCAAAGTAATTATTGCTATCTTGTGAGTTTAATTCAAGTTTTATTTACTCCAACCGGTGATAATTGTGAAAAAGTGGCATTAAAAACTTAAAAAGCTGTGCTGTGAACTGTGAACTGCAAAAATCATCGTGGATCGTGGCATAACGTCGGTTTCCAATGTTTCATAGGTATTTCATACATGCGTCCTTATATAAAATAAAGTTTCTTGTATGCAACACACTGTCCTTTATTTATAAAATTAAACGAAAATAATAATAAATTTGAATAAACAATATTTGGCGATATAATTCCGGAAAAAGCCGAACCGCTCCGAAATTTTTAAAAGTTTTGGGTCGCGACCGTTGCAAGAATAGCGCCAAATAGTGTTTACATTGTCCTTATGGGCACTTTCCAATCTAAACTTGTTTCATTTATCTATGTTCCATTCTAAATATCTTGAGAACGGTTGCTCGTAGCGATTTTTATGAAGAGACATTTTTTACGTAAAAAATCACGGAAATGTATATTTTTCACTCAGTAGTTTTATACAGGTACAGACGAAAAGTTATTAATGTTCAAAACAGTTAAAACACATGTAGGTGGCGCCCCCTACAAATAGGAGTCATATTGATTTCAAAATCAAATTTCTCTCAAAAACTCCTAGACATCAATTTTCATCCAAATATTGACGTTACTTCAGAAATTATTTGGAAAAATCGAAATAAAAATGAAACTTCTACACCCTGTATCTCTGAAACTAAGCATTTTAAGACATACATTTATACGAACTTTTTTTATCTATTTTTATCTGCGGAGTATGCTGCCGAAGTTTCCTGAATACAGTTCGGACAACCTTGTATATTATAGTCCTTGCCCATCGATAAGTTTTAGTCTCATGTATTCCAAGACTATATCTTGTGCTACAACAGCCTGCGTATTATAAGTATCATCATCTACTGGTAATACTATACTAGTACATTTCCGCTCCCATATTCCCAATTGTCTAATTTAAAATTTGACAATATTCTTTTTAAAAATACAAAATTTTCAACATTTTATTCAATATTTCAGATTTTTTTATCCAGAAAAAAAATTATAGACGTGTTTCTGAGATCGAAATATACCACCTCTAAAAATATTTGCACTTATTTAAGACACACCCTGTATACACAATATTTCAAAATACTAATTCCCTTTAAAAATTACTTTCAGGTCCTGGATCATCAGAGAACCCAACCGATCTCCTTCCAGAATACCTGGAACCAGCATCAGACTTCTGGGCGGACGAATTCCCACCCAAGTACGACTCAGACGATTCCCGACTCATCACAGTCCTCGTCCAGTGGGTACTGAAGTGCCGATGTACACCGGAAACACCCGAAGTCACGACACAAAGCACGACCAGTAGCGTCCCTAAGATAATTTTACACAGGGTGCACAGGACTTAAATTGGACGATGAAGTCCAGTGAAGTCAGTCGGGTTGTGATTCGTTCAATATGCGTAAAAATTGTACATATATATTTGTAATGTAAAAGGTTTTTTGGCATATCACTTATCGGGAGAGTCGTTCCGAGGTAATAATATTAGTAATACCAAGAAGGGGGTCCACTATCACCAAGAACACGTGTTTTTAATGTAAGTAATTTTTTCAATATCAGATTTTAGGTGATGTTCTTAGATTGTATAGTATGTATAGGGTGTAATAATACAATCTGCCTCTATTAAGTTAAACTATTCTGTAAAGCAGAGACTGCTGGTAGAATTATCATTTTACACAGACCGGAAAAGTCTAGGGATATTACAATTTTATCCAGCCATCGTCAGTAATTTTATTATTTGCATTTCTTTTATAATAAAATTAAAATAAACTAATAGTTTACAGGACGCATTGGAAATAAAAATGCGAAATTTACCGAATTTTTCAAATTTACCTTGATTTTTATTGAACTCAAAAAAATACACACATATTTTTTTATTCTAAACTGTGAATTAAAAAAAAGATAAAACCATTTTTACTTAATAAAGGGTATGGCCTCCTCTACTGTTCATTACAGCCCTACATCGTCTCTCCATGCTCCTGATCAGGTTGTCGATCTCTTCTTGAGGTACAGCCTGCCACGCTGCATTCACGGCCCGAACCAGATCCCTACGAGTTTCACGAGGCATACCCATTCTCAAAATTCTTCTTTGGACCGCGTCCCATACGTGCTCGATGGGGTTGAGGTCAGGAGATTGTGCCGGCCAGGGTAAGATGTTTAATTGATGAGCATTGATAAACTCACTTACCACTCTGGCTGTATGAGGTAGTGCATTGTCATGCATGAGAATGATGTTTCTCCCAAAATCATTGCCATATGGTAACACGACAGACTCAAGAATTAAATCACGATGTATGATTCTTGTTAGAAACTTTTCAAGAAAAACGAGATCGGTTTTTCGGCCTAACTGGACTCCTCCCCAGACCATAACTGTTCCACCTTGATAAGGACGCACTTCCTGAACATGATCCAACCGAATAAGATTTCCCGGTTCTCTCCATACCCTAAGCCTTCTCGAATCCGAATGAATTTCAAAGCGTGACTCATCCGTGAAGAGAACATTGACCCATTGTTCAATCGACCACTGAACATGATCTTGAGCCCACAAATATCGTACTTCTCGATTTCCTCTCGTTGAGGGTTGAGCTCTCCAGGGGCGTCTGCTTCTTAAGTTGACCTCGCTTAATCTATTGCGAACAGTGTCAGGACTAACGGTTACATTATGTGTTTCCTGGAGAATTAAACTAAGCTCTGCTGCTATAAGAGTCGGTCGGCGTCGAGCATTTAATTGTAAAAAATGATCTTGCTGAGGGGTAGTAATGCGATGTCGCCCTGTGTGCCTTTCAGCAACATCACCACTTTCACGGTAGCGTATACTTAATTGCGATATTACACTTTGCGTTGTATTTAATGCTCTAGCTACGTCGATTTGGCGCATTCCAGCTTCGAGCATACCCATGGCAAAGGCATTTCGTCTCTGTTAAGATGTCTACGCTCCATAATGTCGTTTAATACTAAACAGAGTAATTTGAATGAATTCTTGCCAGTTATCATAAAAACATAGCCAGTACAGGTTAAATTCGAACAATTGATGCTAGGTGCTTTTTATACATATGACAAAAAATGCACCAACACTTCTGCAAATATCCCAAATTTAGAAATAACTAGTGTACCTACTTCGTTTCAATCGAAGTAGAAAGAATCGGCCTACAAATATGTGGTTGTTTATTCAAAACATTTATTTTTAACTTTAATAAAATGATATCCCTAGATTTTTCCGGTGTGTGTAGGTGTCCTATATCCTTGGTCCTGGGCAAGGGACCCACACAAAATTTTAGAGTTATACTGAGTGACCAGTAAAACCATCAATTCGATGTTAATCAAAGAATGTCTCGAGAAGCTGAACAAATTAGGCAAAGAAAATAAAGTCCAATTCTGGGGGGACGCTAACCCGCCAAGAGATATAAGGCAATAAAAAAGTAAACGATCTAGCTAGAAAAGGGGCAAACACTCCACTAACTGCACAAGAACCGTTCTGCTTAACAAAACAGACCAGACATATCACTTCACCATTCTGTATCTAAGACCGAAGTTCAAGTTCATATCTGTGAGAAACCTTCGAAGTTTCAGAAAAGTAGATCTTGCTGGTTCGATCCTGCATTTGATCTCCTGATCTGGATCCCACGTTTCATTAACCATGCATCCCAAATATTTAAATTGTGTGACCTGCTTGATGACCTCTCCATTTAAGTAAATTCTGGTGTTCGGAATGTTGTTTCTGCTAACAGCCATAAATTTAGTTTTTCTAGTATTTATGTTTAAACCCAGTCTATGGCTTTCATTGTTAAGCTTATTTAGAAGAATTTGGAGATCATTTGCATTGTCTGCCAATATCACTGTGTCATCTGCATATCGGATATTATTGATTGGAATGACATTTTCAAACTAGTGGGACTGTCGGAGATTGACTCAGTGAATGCTCTCTTTCCACATATAAATTAAACAACATTGGAGACACTTGCCTTACCCCCTTTTTACTTCAAAATCTCCAGTTACTCCCACGCTATGTATACGAATTTCAACTTTTTGGTTCCAATACAAATTACTGATGAGCCTTATATCTTTTCCATCTTTTTATTTTTTTTCATGTTCTAGACATGTTCAAAGAGTGACAAATTGGGTGATCTTGGTGGCTATGGTAAACAGTTAATGTCGTGCTGATTTAAACATATCGTGCAAATGAAACCGTAGAGTAATAAAGTGATTAATTTATAAACTGAACATTTTTAAAAAATGTATTTAATTATTTCAAGTTACCTACTCTTTATGAACATTTTTTATCCCCGTGTTCCACTTTTTTACTGGCTGATATTTTCTGAAATGTTTTAGCTAGAAACTACAAAGTGAATTTATTATGCACTGTATATTTACACCCTATACGTATATTAACCCAAAAAATAGCAATCTATATTGCTAACACATTCATTTTATTTAGCAGCTATTTATATTAATGCTGTTTTATCTATTAAAACCAGCACATCTAAATTTATTTTAAAATTTAATTTGAAGCGTTTGCAGCATTTTACCGCTTTATATTCTGTTGTGGAAATAAAACGGCAAGTAAATAAAGTATACAGTAAGCATTAGGTATATAAACAATGGTTTGTAATGATCTATATTTTAAATAACCAAAGTTACGGTTAAATAAATGTTTATGTTATTTTCGATGGACATTTTTGACAGATTGTATTCATAAGCGTCACAAAAAAAAATAATTTGGAGACTTGCTGGAAAATTTTTTTTAATTAAAAAATATCAGGTTTTACACTTAAATTAAAAAAAAATAATAAGTATAGTTATATAACATTTTTTTAGCCATCTAGTCTTTTTCCATCTTTAATATTTGTAATTTAATGCAAAACCCAATTTAATCAAAGAAATAGGAACACTTAGATGGTACAAATATAAACCAAGAATATGTTTTTTTGTCAAATTAGCAATTGCATTGCAAAGCTTTTACAAAAACGGAATAAACCAAAGATTAATAAAGATATAATGATGATAAGTCATTTATATCTTGTGTTTGTTTAAACCTTTGAATAAGAAGACTAAGGAAGGAGCATAATGCTATCCATGTATTCATGCATGGTGGGCGGAAAAGCCACCATAAAAGCTCTTTAGGGTGGGGATCCTTGACAGTTCTGTTTGACGATTCATTTGATACATTTGAATTTGATTTGAAATTTTGTGGATTTGTCAGTCTGTACGGAGCTTATTTTATGTTATTTATTATTTATTCTACTACTGATAGTTGTATAAAGGTAGTAAATCTAGATGGAAATTGTGGCAGAACTTAAATTAACAGTGACACTATCGCGATTTATCGAAAAAGACTCTAAAATAGTTGGTTGTGTAGCGTGCGGTAGATCTCGGCAAAAATTGAGTGAAATAATGGAACAACTTTTCGCTAGTAAGTGACTATATAATATACATACGTGTACTAAACCGATCATTTATGAAATTCACTTAAATTAACTAAATTATATATTTTTCTTGCATTTCAGCTTTTATTTATTACTTGTCAAAGATTAGATGTCAAAGAATTTAGATACGTTAATTTGACTTACCTGCTTCAGTAGCGTATCGGATGTTTGTGTTAATAAATACTTATTATAACTTATCTATTTTTATTAGAATTATATATTTTTATAACAATTTTAATAACTACCAACATTTATTCACAACGTAAAATAAAACAACAAATTATTGAGTCTACCCCACGTCTACCCTACATCATAGTTTTACATTTTTTAAATAAAATTAGAACGACACTGATAAACCGGAATTAGGGTCGGCCATATTTGAGGCCCATCGCGGTGTACCTAAGATTTTTGATATGCTCCTTCCTTAGTCTTCTTATTCAAAGGTCTAAACACAAAGATACAGAAAGGTTGTTTTCAAAAATATATCACCTCTGTATATTTCTTACTCTGTGGAACAAACCGTTCACAGCAGCATAGCTTGTTTTTCGATTGATTGGACACACAAGTCAAAAATTCGAATTGGAAAAAAACCAAAAGTGTACTTTTCTACATTAATAGGTTAGTTTTCGTAGTTAGTGTTTATTCCAACATAAAAATGTAACATAAAATTTACAAAATAACAAAAAAATGTAATAATAAATACACACCCAGTTGTTCACATTTAAATGTGTAAGCAAAAAAACTAAGAAGATATATAGGGTGTTTCAAAACAAATGCGAAAAACTTCAGGGGGTGATTCCTTGTTCAAAATAAAGGGTAGTTTGCTTCATAAATGTTGGGTCAAAAGTCAACCATTAGGGAGATATTGCGGTACAAAGATGGCGGAAAAATAATGTTTTTATTTTTTATCTTGAAACCGAAAAGAGATAGACTAATAAAATTTTATGGAAGCATTACTGTTATGAAAACACACTTTCTGGTAATTTTTTCACTTTTTTAAAATGAGTGGAAGGGGTTGAAATAAACTATCCCTATCATTCTTGTTAACGAAATTTAAAGAAAAATCTTATCAAACACATGCAAAAAAATTAATTTGGATTAGTTTGTTTAGAAACTTTTTTATCTCCTGTATTTTTTTGATAAAACTCACCGATTTGAAATTAAAAAATAAAATGTAAAGCATTACATGTCAGGACAAAAACATTTTCTGATAAAGAATCTAGTGGGCTGCTGTAATTTTTTTAGGAAAAAATCTAGTCGGCCGCTGTTACTTTTTAGGATGTTCCTAATATTATTTTATTTGACATTACTCTACTGCAATACGTTATTATCTAGATGATTATTATTATCGTTATTATCACTAGATTCTTAATCTAAAAATGTTTTTTGTCCTGACATGTAATGCTTTACATTTTATTTTTTAATTTCCAATCGGTGAGTTTTATCAAAAAACACAAGAGGTAAAAAAGTTTCTAAACAAACTAAACTATCCAAATTAAAGCATTTGCATGTGTTTGATAAGATTTTTCTTTAAATTTCGTTAACAAGAATGATAGGGGTAGTTTATTTCAACCCCTTCCACTCATTTTAAAAAAATAAAAAAATTACCTGAAAGTGTGTTTTCATAACAGTAATGCTTCCATAAAATTTCATTAGTCTATCTCTTTTCGTTTTCAAGATAAAAAATAAAAACATTATTTTTCCGCCATCTTTCTAACGCGATATCTCCCTAATGGTTGACTTTTGACCCAACGTTTATAAAGCAAACTACCCTTTATTTTGAACAAGGAATCACCCCCTGAAGTTTTTCGCATTTGTTTTGAAACACCCTGTATAATATATCTTTTTATATGTGCAAATATATCTACATAAAACCGTTTTTGCACAAGAATAAAAAGAAATTTAGTAACATAGGTAACAAAAAATAAAAAGAAAATGCATTTTTCAGTAGAAATGTCAAATCTTTATTTAACAATATTTTTAAATTAAAGAGCATTATAGTTAAAATAAATCAGAATGCAATAATTTCATAATTACAGAGTTAACATCAAATATATCTACAATTACGAATTATTACCCAAGAAATACGTAAAAATACTTAAAACAAATCATGATATAACATTTAATATTCATGTTTTAATAACAAAAAAAAATCAATCCAATCAAGGAATCGTAGTAATTTAGCTACGGAAGTGATGGAAAAGTAAATATGTACTTAACAATAAATGTTATATTTATATTCTTACTAGTAAAAATACTCTGTATATATAGAAACCTATATTTAAGACACCTTTCACATAATTCCGACCTGTGTATATCGATAATCAATAAAGAATATTTATCAAAAAGCTTTTTTTTATTTCCCCTAAATACAGGGTTAGTTTCCTACGATGTTCTCTATGGGTATCTCGGAAACTACTGGAGATAGAGAATCGGTTAAATGGGGAAAGAATTGCAGTTTTGTGGGGTTATAAATATGCGCCTTACAGATTTTTGAAAAAGTTCATGGCTTACTAGATATTTCGAAAAATACAAATTTCGGCTATTTTAAGAATTGTCCGTAATTCCATTATAAGCTATTTTAGACAAAAAGTTTTCAGATAAAAGTTGTAGATAATCACATCCTTAATGAGACTGTGTCCTCCGTTTTTTTCTAAAGCCTGTAATTTTTGACATATGACACAAACATAGGTTTTTTTAAATGAAAACCATAGTTGGCCATGACTTCATAAAAAGCGCCATTTTTAAGCTTTTTAGTGATGTAAGCTATAATATTTTTTCTTCAAAAAATTACTGAGTTATAGCCAATTCTTATTATTTTTAAACAATTTCACTTAGTTAGCCATGGAAACAAGTTCAATCGTCGTTGCTCTCAGAAATGTGAAGCTGTCACATCCAAACTTTGTAAATTAAAATAAACAAAAATTGTAAATATGAATTTTTCAAATGAAGAAAAGTGTGTAGATACTCGCGCATCAATAAAGTGGTTCCAAAATGACTTTCATTATAACACACCACCCCCCACCCCCCATAATGAAAGAAATGTTAAAAATTATGTACAATTTAATAATTATGTACAAATAAAATAATTATGTAAGAGGTGGACTAATTGCATGGGCCTCCCCGATCACCTGACCAATCCATTTTAAAAAAATGTTATGCGGTATAGTTAACAATAAGGTTTACAAAAGAACTTATGAATTAAGAGAGGCACTCGCAGTAGCGGTACGAGAAAAGTTGAATTAAATCGACCGGTCCTTCTGTGAGAATAGGTAGTAATTCAGTTTTAAAAAGATGCAACTCAAAACAATGGCGGATTTTTTGAACATTTTCTAAAATGACTTAAAGTGTATGTAGTATTTTTTTTTTAAGTATTAGTTTGTGTAATGTAAATTGTAAAGAAACGTTTAGTAATATATTCTGACTTTTTATAAGTTATAAATCATAACAGAATAAGAATACCATGCAATCTAAGTGAAATTAGTGAAGAAAGATAAAAATTGGCTATAACTAAATTTAACTTTTCTAACATGTCTTAAAAACCGTTTTCTAAAAAATGTAACATTCACCGGTCAACGTATCCACGAAAATGTATGGTCAAGAAAAGTTGAACCAATAATCCTACACGCTTTTCTTCATTTGAAAAATTCATATTTACAATTTTTGTTTATTTTAATTTACAAAGTTTGGATGTGACAGCTTCACATTTATGAGAGCAAAGACGATTAAATTTGTTTCCATGGCTAACTAAGTGAAATTGTTTAAAAATGATAAGAATTGGCTATAACTGAGTAATTTTTCGAAGAAAACATATTATATCTTATATCGCTGAAAAGCTTTAAAATGGCGCTTTTTATGAAGTCATGGCCAACTATCGTTTCCATTTAAAAAACATATGTTTGTGTCATATGTCAAAAATGACAGGCTTCAGAAAAAAAAACGGAAGACACAGTCTCATTAAGGATGTGATTATCTACAACTTTTATCTGAAAACTTTTTGTCTAAAATAGCTTATAATGGAATTAGGAACAATTTTTAAAATAGCCGAAATTGGTTTTTTCGAAATATCTAGTAAGCCATGAACTTTTTCAAAAATCTGAAAGGCGCATATTTATGACCCCACAAAATTGCAATTCTTTCCCCATTTAACCGACTCTCTATCTCCAGTAGTTTCTGAGATACCCATAGAGAATATCGTAGGAAACTCACCCTGTATATATAATTTTTTTTTTAAACAGGAGTGTGCCAAAAAAATCACAATAAATGAGAAAAAAGTGTGGTGAAAAATATTTCAAATTTAATGAAATACTATAATGAAGTTGGTCCGAAACGTAACTTCGGCAACATATTCTGCAGATGAAAATAAATAAAAAAGTTCGTATAAATACATGTCCTAAAATGCTTCGTTTCGAAGATACAGTGTGTAGAAATTTAATTTTTATTTCGATTGTTTCCAAATTATTTTTCTGAAATAATATCGATATTTGAATGAAAATTGGTGTTTGGGTGTTTTTTGACATGAGAAATTCGATTTCGATGTAATGTATGACTTTTAAAAAAGTTACACATTAAAATTGTGTTTTTTCTAATGGAACACCCTATATATTAATTCATTTTCGGATTCTAAGAAAAAAATAAAAGTGAGTTTTATTAAAAAAGCATATACCTAAAATCAAAATCTAAGGATTTTGACATATTTCACATTTTGTGAAAAGAAGAGTAAATTTTTTAAATTTCGATAATAGCTATCTATCTTTAGTTGACCTTGTATAGCCTGATATTTAATTACAGTAACCATTGTATGTTAAACCAAATTGAAATTAATATGGAATATTACGCACTTTTAAAAGCAAGCTTGCATGATTCAAAGTCAATCAATCATCAAGCGGCTTGCACAGTTTAAATGCTTGCGCAAATTTTCATTACAGATCGATCTACAGACGCTACAGTTTGCTTGTACAAAAAGATTGTTCATGCATGCTTGTCAAGCTTGCGTGTGTGCCACCTTAACAGAATCATATCAATTCTCTCTGATGTAGGATAGGTTTGCATTTTCGGCAAATTTCTGAGATTTTTTTTGTTTCAACTGACACAAAATGATAGCTAGTTGTTAAAGTTGGACTAATTAGACAGCTATGTTGAAGTAACTTCAGACATATCACAGCCACCTAGATTTTATGAAATAATAAAAATCTACCCAGATCAAATCATGTAAATGAAAATATCTAGGAAAATATTTGTTTGAGGGGTAGGCAACCTTAATAGTATTTTGAAGAGACACGAATTCTCCATTAAATATCGGAATAATATACTGGGTGTTTCATTTAAAATAAAAGAGTAACATGCTTTTATAGATGACCAATGTTCAATATTAATTTTGTCTCACCCTGTATACTATACTTTTTGGATCAACTTTTAATTTGATTTAAAATACAATTACTATATATTAGGCTATACCGGGTAAATTCCAATTTAGGTAGGTTTTATTGTAATTTAAAAATTGTTCTCCATTTCTAGAAAATGTTAAATATGTCAAAAACCTTACATTTTAGTCATGTACTTCTCTTATAAAACTCACCTTTATTTTTCTCCAGGAATCCGAAAATCAATTAATATATAGGGTGTTCCATTACAAAAAACACAACTTTGATGTAACTTTTTTTGGGACGCCCTGTAGAACTCTCTATATTTATAAAAAGTGCTCTGAATTAACCTACATATGCTCACAAAATTTCATTTCAATACAAACTGTCGTTCTCCTTGGAGCTTCCGCGGCGTATGAGAGGCGCCACCCTGTACAAGAACGTTTTATACAGGGTCGATCGTGTAAGGAAGCCAATCAGAGTTAAATCTAAAAGAGTTTTGGACTTCCATGTCTTTATTTATTTTTGCTTACACAACGTTTCGGTCAGTGTCAATACCCCAATTTTCATGCGACATTTAAATGAAACATCAACATAATCGAAAATATAGCATTTATTTACAGTAGATACAAAGACACGTGTAATACTTTCTTCACAAATAAACTGCCTATATGTATACTAGCTGCACTCATGATAATTTATGCACTCATAATTGATTTAAATGATATGACAAGACAAAACAAAACCGTATGACCAAATTTCCATTGAAAACATCGAAAATACGTTAATTGCATCATCAATTCTTTAAGTTTGCATCATACAAATTTTTCGAAAATAAATATTTACAAATTAGTTCAATATCTGACTAGAACTTTAACCCAGTAACAAAAACAAGTTGTTTTATTTAATGTTTGTTCAAATTTTCTATCATTAAGTCCACAAACTCGTTCCATGCTTCATTCCATATACTAAACGCTTCAGTTTTTTCACTGTCTGACATTGCGCTGTACTGTATAGAGTTTCGGGCAAAGATTTTTAGTATTTCTAAGCCATGTTCTTTCCAGGTCATTGTCATAAACACCACGTACCTGTAAGAAGGTATTCATGAGGTAAAAAGGTAATTATTGTAGGAAAATATGAATAGTTACTCACCAATCGTAGCTGAGCCCAGTGGCGGACCATACTGATGGGTCATCGTTGCATATGACAACGGGATATCCTTGTGATAATAGCACAGTTGCAGGGTGGTTCCTTGGATCATCATTTAACTAAAAAATAATTAATATGTTAGTAATCATTTTCGTAGTAGATGTTTATGCCTTTAAATGATATTAATCTACAGGGTGGTCCGAAATGCATTCGGTAAACTTTAGCAGCATATTCTGCAGATAAAATTAAGCAAAAAAGTTGGTATAAATGTGTATCCTAAAATGCTTCGTTTCGGAGGTACAGGTTGTAGAAGTTTAATTTTTATTTCGATTTTTTCCAAATAATTTCTAAACTATAGTCTATATTTGGATAAAAATTGGTGTCTGGGTGTCCTTTCACATGAGAAATTTGATTGCGATGTCTACTACTCCGTCATTTTCTGCGTATAAAATGTCTCAAGATATATTTAGAATGGAAATTGTTGACATAAAATAAACATGTTGAGTAGATAGTTATTTGACTGAAATAAGATAAATGTCGAAACTTTTTATTTTTTTAAATTTTTCTACGAAAAAACTATGATAAAACAGTTTCTGTTAATCATTTGACACAAAAAACATTTCAAATTTATTATTTCAGTCTAATAACTATTTAGTCAACATGTTTAATTTATGTCAATTATGACGGGTATTGATAATTTCGATTCCAAATATCTCGAGAACCATTGCTTATAGCGATTTTGACCAAGAGACCTCTTTTACGTAAAAAACGTTACGTAAACACTAATTTTTTATCCAAATATCGATGTTACTTCAGAAATTTTGAAAATTCAGAAAATTTGGAAAAAAATTGCAATAAACGTGAAACTCCTGTATCTCCGAAACTAAGTATTTAGGATATACGTTTATACGAACTTTTTTACTTATTTTTATCTGCAGAATATGCTGCCGAGGTTTCCGGAATTCAGTTCGGACCATTACTTACAAGGTGTTGGAGTGGTTAACTAGTGGATTGTATTTTTTTACGTTTTTATTCGTATTAAACATAAGAAAAATTATATAATTGCATTGCATTGGCTTGAATAAAATCAAAGAAAGAAAATTGTTAATTCCTGTTGCTTGCCGTGCTGGTGACAAGTGACAGGCATAGACCATTGTATAGACATTACCTAAGATTCATTTTTGTTTGACATTTGGTATATTAAAAAGAAGATACGTACCCTTAATACTTGATTAGATATTAGACTTAATTCTACTGGAATATCTTTTTCTCTAGCTATATTCAATAATACAGGGTGTTTAGCTAAAGAAAAAGCGTGTCCTATACGACTGCTGTTCAATAAAATTGCATCGACTAGATTTAGATCTGTATGGCCGTATTGGAATGTTTCTCCTGCATGGAAGAAGAACTTCACATCTTGAGAGACACCAAGAAGTTCGTCGTGGAAATCAACCAGTTCCTTGCCATCCTCTTCTAGTCCAACAAAATCAAATCCTTAAAAAGAAATTAAACATTACTACGTTTAATTTAAATTTTTTAAATCCTATATGGGTGTTTCGCCACTGCAAGAAAATCTACAAAATAAAAAAAAATATTTCTTGTAACACTACTGCGTTAATCCAACGGAGACTAATTGTCAGCAGTTAGGTTTACTGATAAAAAAAGTTGCCTAGCGAACAAAAAATGCTTAACGTTTCGGAAAGTATATCTCTTTCCGTCCTCGGAATCAAAAAAATACAAAGAATAAAGAAAAGAAACTATTTAAAATATTTAAATGCAACTATTCGAGAACACTTTATTTAAAAAAAAAACAGATACGTCCACGTCTACAAAAACCGTTGACGTTCTGTTAAAATGACATTATATCAAGTTAAAATTCAAAATTAACAATTACTACCTGATAACAATTAATTACTTAATAAGGTAAAACCAAAAAAGGTTTAAACTTTCCCACCAAGCAAAAAAACTCACATTACATTTGCAACATTGCAGTCAATCCCCAAACAGTTTGCTTTGTAATGTTGATTTCTAAACGTTGTGTCGTGATTGATAAAACCTTGCTAGAAACATTGTTTTTGAATGGCGATTAAAACGTTTTTTCTGCAACATTGCAACAAAGATTCAAATGAGAGATCCGCGCAAGTTAATATTAATTAATAATATAACAAATATACCATAGGATCGAAAAAAAACGGCGTCTAGTTGGCTTGGAAATGAATATTGATGACATTCCCCATATAAAATGACAGCGATTTTTTTTTCATAGCCATCGCTGACGTCTTTTTTTTCGATCATACGGCATAAGAAGTTAGGTTAGGTTAACGCACTTGTTTTTTTACGTTTCTGGTATCACATTTTATGCTTTTCGAATGAGATTTTAATGAATGTAAATGTAAGTACAATTTTATTATTATGTGTGTTTTAATAATACTTAGCCATGAATAAGTATAACAAATTTTGTTTAGTTTAGTTTGTTTTTAAGCTAAATTTTATGCTTTAGGTTAGCTTTTAGCCAACTGAAAATTGAAATAGATAAAATCAGGATACGAGTATATCAATCTAATGATAAAATCACAAATAATATTCAGTATTAACTATTCTCAATAATATTTTTTTAATGACGTTATAATCATTTGAAATTTTTAAAATAAGGGCATAAAGGGGCCTCAAAGATTACTGTCACAAGAGGTAAGTTTCTCATTGCTTTTTTATATTTATTACAACTGATTGTTTTTATTTTTACTACTTTAGAAATTATTGGATATAGATTTCAAAACTTTACCGAAGAGAAATTTGAACAACATGCGAAGACAAAATTTGAAAAATCCAAAAAATCAATTAAAATATAAGTTTGCTTTTCCTTCTACATACATTTAATGTTATACTTTCCTTATGTATTTTTGAATAAGAAATATAAAATAATGTTTATACTGTACGTATATATTTTGTATTATTTCAGAAAAGATCATTAAGTTCTCAGTACTTCACAGTATTTTTGAAACAAGTAAGTGATAAATTTCTAATTTTTGTTTGTTTTTTTTTTCAATTTGTTTGACAAATTCGACTTTCTTGGTAGGGATATATTTACCGAGCATTTTTAATTTTTCTAAGTCAAGGGATATAGAGATATACCTAGATATTTTTATCAATGTTGTTTATCTCAAAGTCTACAATTTAATATCAATTAATGTTTCTGTTGATTATAACCTTATTACTGATGTATTATTGTTAACATAAAATTGCATAAAACTGCTAATGTTCGCAAGAAAAAAACTGTTTCATTAATTGAGAAGTAAATATTAAAAAATAATTTTTATATTTTCCCTCTGATGAATGAAATGTTTTTTTAATGCAAACATTATCTATTTTTTGCTATATTATTTTAGCAATAAGTCAGTTAATTATAATTAATAATATAATTTTACCAATATTGTATTGACGTAAAATTAACAGTATTGCTAATACATCCCAAATTAGTATTTTCTTGAACGTTACATTAGCAACGTTTCAATAATATTGTGAAATGCAACCTTGCTCTGCAATATTATTTGGCGGAAGATTAAGCTACCCTGAAACCTTGCATAAACCTCCCTACAATGAAAAAAGCAATGTTACACCTTGCTTTGCGAAGTTTTGGCAATGTTCCAGCAATAAATTTTGCTTGTTGGGTCTGTATATTTTTAATGTTTATGTATGTTATGTTTATTTATGTTATGTTCTTTAAAATCAAAGGAGCGACTGCCATACATTACTAACATCTAGAGATGCATGAGCGATACATTTATTTTTATTAGATTGTATTAAAAAAAGCCTATTTTATTTTTCTTTTAGGGACTATCGCTTCCTTTATTATAATTTTGGCGTTGTTAAAATCTATTATGTGCCCTGTGTCCCATGAATGCTGACAAATATTAGATTTGTGAAAGTCGCTCTTTCCTAAATAATCTTTATGTTCTTTAATTCAAACATTAACATTTTTTATAACTTTCTTATTTTAAATGGGTGCCCCCATTTTTTATTACATACTTAAGTTCTATGTAAAATTTTACGAATTTTGATATTAAACACTCTATATCTAACATTAACCGTTCTTAAAAAAAATATATATTTAAAATTTTTGAACGAAAAAAATGCCTGTCAAAGAAATTTGTATAGCCCATACGTCAAATTTAGTGATTACCACAGCCACTGTGCCATAAAGAGAAGACATGTGGCTGGCATGGAATTGAGCGATTAAAAAATTATACTTTCTATTCTCTCGGTATTTCCGGAAGTGCCGCCATATTGAAAATATTTTTAATCGATAGATCTCAATCTAGATGTGCAAACAATTTTGCACAACATTGTTTTACAACGAAATTGTTTTCCGATCTAGATATCGTGGTTCACGAGAAACTTCTAATGCATGCTCAGCCTGGGACACCCTGTATACCTATCTTAACGCATCACATAAAATTTTTAAATATTGCACCTAATATAATTTTTTTGGGGAAACATTTCTAATTACCTGCTATGAAATCTGGGAAGAGCGATTTGAAGTAAATTAATTGTTCCAAACCCGCTTTCAAAGTGGTATTGTCTACGCCCCTGTACAAACAATGAATGTACTTGGCTCCGACGAATTTCGGATGGGATTCCTTAAATTCGGCTACTGTTTCGATAAAGGTTTCCAGGAATTGTTTAGTGTCGTAAGTGGTTCCGTTTATTTCATACAATGGCATGAATGTTCCTGGAAAAGAAAGATTATCCTAGATTATATAGATATCTTGAAAAATCGTCATTAGCGTAAAACCCCTGTATAGTTAGATAAATGCAGGGTGGTCCGAAATGTATTCCGGAAACTTCAGCAGCAAATTCTGCATATAAAAATAAGTAAAAAAGTTCTAAAATGCTTAGTTTCGGAAATACAGGGTGTAGAAGTTTAATTGTTATTTCGATTTTTTCTTTGAATAAGAAGACTAAGGAAGGAGCATAATGCTATCCATGTATTCATGCATGGTGGGCGGAAAAGACACCATAAAAGCTCTCTAGGGTGGGGATCCTTGACAGTTCTGTTTGACGATTCATTTGACACATTTGAATTTGATTTGAAATTTTGTGGATTTGTCAGTCTTTACGGAGCTGATTTTATGTTATTTATTATTTATTCTACTACTGATAGTTGTATAAAGGTAGTAAATCTAGATGGAAATTGTGGCAGAACTTAAATTAACAGTGACACTATCGCGATTTATCGAAAGAGACTCTAAAATAGTTGGTTGTGTAGCGTGCGGTAGATCTCGGCAGAAATTGAGTGAAATAATGGAACAACTTTTCGCTAGTAAGTGACTATATAATATACATACGTGTAGTAAACCGATCATTTATGAAATTCACTTAAATTAACTAAATTATATATTTTTCTTGCATTTTAGCTTTTATTTATTACTTGTCAAAGATTAGATGTCAAAGAATTTAGATACGTTAATATGACTTACCTGCTTCAGTAGCGTATCGGATGTTTGTGTTAATAAATACTTATTATAACTTATCTATTTTTATTAGTATTATATATTTTTATAACAATTTTAATAACTACCAACATTTATTCACAACGTAAAATAAAACAACAAATTATTGAGTCTACCCCACGTCTACCCTACATCATAGTTTTACATTTTTTAAATAAAATTAGAACGACACTGATAAACCGGAATTTAAGTCGGCCATATTTGAGGCCCATCGCGGTGTACCTAATATTTTTGATATGCTCCTTCCTTAGTCTTCTTATTCAAAGGATTTTTTCCAAATAATTTCTGAAGTAACGTCAATATTTGGGTGAAAATTGGTGTCTAGAGGTTTTTTGACATGAGAAATTTGATTTTAATGTCAATATGACACCTACTTGTAGAGGGCACCACATACATATTTTTTAACTGGTTTAAAGGGTAATAACTTTTTGTCCACACCTGTATAAAACTACTGAGTAAAAGAATATACATTTCCGACGTTTTTTATGTAGAAAAGGTCTCTTGGTAAAAATCGTTACGAAATCGTTACAATACCTGTCATCATTGACATAAATTAAACATATATGTTGACTAAATAGTTCTTAGACTGAAATCTTTTGAAAAATAAATTTGAAATGTTTTTGTGCCAAAAGTTCAACAGAAACTGTTTTATTATCATTTTTTCGCAAAAAAAATTATGATTAATTTAAAAAAATAAAAATATATTATTTTAGTCGAATAACTAACTATATACCGTATGATCGAATAAAAACAGCGTCAGCGATGGCTATGAAATGAAAATCGCTGTCATTTTATATGTAAAATTATATGAGAAATGTCATCGATCGTCATTTCATAGCTATCGTTGACGCCGTTTTTATTCGATCATACGGTATATGCAACGTGTGTTTATTTTTTGTCAATAATGACATGTATTGACTATTTCCATTCTAAATATCTTGAGAACGGTTGCTCGTAGTGATTTTTACCAAGAAACATTTTTTACGTAAAAAAGTCACGGAAGTGAATATTTTTTCACTCAGTAGTTTTATACAGGTACGGACAATAAGTAGGTGGCGCCCTCTACAAATTAGAGTCATATTGACATAAAAATCAAATTTTTCGTGTCACAAAACTCCCAGACACTAATTTTCATCCAAATATTAACGTTACTTAAGAAATTATTTGAAAAAAATAGAAATAAAAATGAAAGTTCTATACCCTGTATCTCCGAAACTAATCATTTTAGGACATACATTTATACGAACTTTTTTATTTATTTTTATCTGCAGAATATGCTGCCGAAGTTTCCGGAATACAGTTTGGACCACCCTGTATAATAATCTTTACAGAATATTGCTTCTAACGCGAAATATTCAGAAATCAAAATATTTGACAAGTTTCTTAGTGGGTCTTGAACAAAAATTTACACCAACTAGGAAAAAGAAAACATTCTTCTTTTAGAAGACTGATAAAAATGTTTTCTTTTGAGTCACGAGAGCTCAAGAAAGTTTAATGTATAATGTATGTTGATTTTGTGATAGTTTGGTTCAAATAACTAATTTCTTCAACAGAGATAACGGTTACTTAACTATTACACATTTAATTTAAAGTAGTTTCAAATGAAAAATAAATGTTTTTTTTGCAAGAGAAGTTTATGAGTTTGGATTGTTATCTCTTGAATTCAAGAGAATATTTCTATCCTTGTAGGTGTATTTAAAAATTTACTTTTCGTATTTTTTTTTCAACTCGACAAAACTTAGGACAAAAAAAGTCAACTTTTTGACCACAAGTCCACATATACAGGATGAGTCTTAAATAAGTGCAAATTTTTCAGGACTGTTAGACCTCGATAAACGAAACATATTTTCTCGTTACCGTTTTTCAAATATGCCCAAAATAACCGTGTTTTCAAGTTTGAAAGTTAAAAAAAATTGATTTGTTTTTAAAAAATTTTCAGAGCCACCCGATTTTTGCTGTATTTGAATCTATTTTTAGTGCCGTAACTATGGTAATATTAGAGGTTAAGAAATTATACAGTGGGGAAATTTGCCGTGAACAGACAGTTCAAAAGAGTTTTTTAAAATATACAGGAAAAGTTAGAAGAGAATGCACGATTTTCAACATCTTTTTGTGAAAAAACTCTCATTGACGTGTCCCTGGGGTCGAAATATACCACCCCTATAATGCCTTCCACAGGACTGTTTTTTTAAAACTTTAAAACTTCGTCAAATTTATGTTGACCATTGTTGTGATGTCACATTATGATCCAGAGTTTTAAAAGCAGTATAGTTCTAAGGAAGGCATTATACTCGTATATTATACCAAAACGTCGACTTTATACTTAATTAAAACTTCTGAGTTTTATTTTGACCCAAATCCAAACGAAAAAATAACTATAACTATTTTGGGGTCAATAAACCAACGAACGTACAGATTATGGTTTACGGTACAACAACGGTTTATTTCCTTCTAAGATTTAAAACCTTTAAACAACTATCAGTAGCTGAATAAATAATAAATAACATAAAATTAGCTCAGTAAAAACTGACAAATCCACAAAATTTCAAATCAAATTCAAATGTATGTCAAAAGGAACTGTCAAGGATTGCCACCCTAGAGCCCTTTGTCCGTCTACCATGCATGAATACATAGATAGCATTATACTTCTTCTTTAATTTTTTTTTCAAAGGTGGAAAATAAAATTCCAACTCTAGATGCAACATTTCATAAACGCCTACTTGTGCGGTTTGAAATTTTGATGCAAAATCCGGCAATACCGCATAGAAGAAATGTATCAACCCAACTCTTTTATCTCCTTAATACATTTAATTTTAATAAGTTACATTTCAAACCAATTTTATAGATACTCTACTTAATATTTAATAAATCAAATATAATTAATACATTTTCTATTAAACTGTCAACATCACTTGTCTGAGACCTACCTCTTAACTCCGTATAAAACACATTATCTTCATAAAGTTCCTCTAGAAGCCTATAAATATACCGTTTAAATATTGGCCTATACGCCACCAAATCGTACAGTGTCGAAAATGTATTCTTAAATTTACTCCAAATCTCCTCTCTACTTTGGTTCAGACTGTCAATACCGAGTGTCATTTTGTCCTTTAAAAATTCGTCAAAACTTTTGTTTTCATCTGCGAATTCCTTTCTGTAAGTTTTCAGGCTCTTCCAAGAACAATTTGCGTCCTGTTTTGGATCTTGTAAGACTCTTAGTTTGAATATGTTGTTCAAGTAACAGGCGTAGATGTTGTCGTTGTATGTTATATTAGATATTATCCAGTCTATATTTACGCCTGCTAAAAAGTGGGTGTGAAGGGATGATCCTTTAGGTAGTTTTCTGATAAGCTGGAATACCTAAAACATATATAACATAGTAATTAGATGTAACGTTTAGTTTCAGTTTTTAAAGGTGATATAGATAAATTGGCAAAAAGTAATAAAATTATTGAGATTTTTTGGTGTCATTAGATTTAATGACACGAAATGTAGATTTATTAGAAAATATAGATTATGTTTTAGTTGAAAAAGTTATACAGGGTGTCATTGAAATGGTGTAAAAAAAATCGGGGAGTGATAGTACTCCTAAAAAGAGTAAAAAAAGTTCCGATAAGTATAGGGCGAAAAATGCATATTAAGGGAGTTAGGGGCACTGAATAAGCTGTTTACCAAAATCATTGCTAAACGTCTCGAACGTAAACTAGATTTCTATCAACCAAGAGAACAGGCAAGCTTTAGGAAAGGTTATGGAACAAACGATCATCTTCAAGTAATTAAAGTACTGATAAAAAAATCTGTGGAATACAACAGGCCCCTAGCATTGGTGTTCGTTGATTTCCAGAAAGCATTTGACGCAGTAGAATTAACATCAATAATAGCAGCATTGGAGCAGGGAAGAGTAGATTATAGGTATACAAGGCTTATAGAATACATATATAGTAATGCCACCACAACTGTAAAACTTCACGAAACAACAGATAAAATTGAGGTAGGCAGCGGAGTTCGACAAGGGGATACTATTTCGCCTAAACTTTTTACAGCTGTCCTTGAATACGCAATGAAATCACTCTCTTGGGAGAATAGGGGCATAAATATCGATGGTGAAAGGTTGACACATCTCAGATGACATCGTCCTTGTCTCAGATAACATCGGAGATTCAAAGCAGATGCTCGAAGAATTAGTGCAGGCCTCATTAAAAGTCGGTCTCCGGATAAATACGAGTAAAACGCAAATAATGACAAACTTAGTGCTGACACAGAACATCAGAATAGGTGACGCCGACATAAAAGAAACACATATACCTATACAAATATTTCGGGCACGAAATACAAATCGGAAAGAACAACCAAACACACGAGATACAGCGCAGAATAGGTTTGGATTGGGCTGCTTTTGGCAAACTGCAAGAGACCTTTAAAAGTGATATACCCATATGCTTGAAGAGGAAAGTTTATGAACAATGCGTCTTGCCGGTAATAACATATGGAGCGGAAACTCTAACATTAACGAAAAAGTCAGCAGAAAATTTAAGAGTAGCCCAGAGAGCCATGGAGAGAGCCATGCTTGGAATAACTAAAAGAAACAAAATTGCTAATAACACTATCAGACAAAAAACCAAAATTAAAGACATAGTAGAACACGTAACTCGAATGAAATGGAGATGGGCAGGTCATGTGGCGAGAACATCTAAAGACAGGTGGACTAGAAGATTGTTAGAATGGCGACCTCGAGCAGATAAACGTAGCAGAGGCAGACCACCGACACGCTGGACCGATGATGTAAAGAGGATTGCTGGAAATTGGATGATGACGGCCCAAAATCGAGAGACATGGAGAAATATGGAGGAGGCCTACGTTCAGCAGTGGACAACAATGGCTACATGATGATGATGATGAGGGGCACTGAAAGGGTGAATTTAAAAAAACGGTTGTTTTAAAATTGTAGGCTTAAAGAACGAGATAAAATTTCGAAAAAAAATCATCTGCCATAAATTTTGACCCTAAATCAAATGGTGATACTGAAAAATTATTTGAAAAAGCGGAAAGGGTAGTTTTTGCAAGGGTAAGGGGTTGGTTCGTGAATAACTTTTTTGAGGTTATTTTTTTGCAACGTGAGTTAATTTTTTGAAAACTACATACCTTTTCCTACAAAAAAGGTACTCTTGTTGCACATCGCCCAGAGCGATGGTTTTCGAGAAAATTGAAGGTAAAGGGTTTGCTATGACGGGTTGCTAACTGGTTAATCAACATAACCTTATGAAAGTTATGGCGGTTCCAAAGTAACCAAGTAGTTATTAAATTATTAATTCTCTCTCAACTTCTTTCAACATTCAATTCCGTTGGACAATTTTATTCAACTAAATTGAACCTTGTATTTCCAGCAGGTGATGGTAAAATCATAAACACTTCTCATAATATTTTACTGTATACAAAGTCAAGTTTTGCAAATTAAATTTGTGCAGTTATTATTTAATATTTTTAATAATCCATGTTCATAAGTCGCACTTTGGTATACTGTTGAATTACAAGCAATGAGAAAGTTACACATACACAAAGTGTCAGATACAAACATACAAAGTGTCAGATACAAACATTATTCAGCAAAACTCTAAAAACAGTTGAATAATTACATACTCAAAATACCAATCTAAGGCTTTTAAACATAAAGGTGTATATATTTATATAGAGATAAAATCTCTCTCTTCTTATTGGTTAAATGCATCGTTAACTGAAAATTGATAAGGTTCTCCTTATCTTTAATTTTTAAAGTTACCTTTCTGTTTATTTTTTTTTAGTAGTTATGGCGTTTATGATATAGTCCATATACCGGGTGCGTCTCAAAAGTGGCTCACCCCCTATAACTTTTTTATTTTTTCAGATAGAAAAACGAGATTTTTTGGTATGTTAGTATTTAACATAAATTAAGATTGATTGACGTATTCAAATGTTTTTGGTCAGTTCCCGTTTCACCGGAAATGACTACAACTTTTGATTTTTAAATGGCTCTCTCGGTATGTCTTTACTTCATTCGATAGAAAATGTCACTCTGATAGAATGACATATCATATGTCAACTTTTAACATTTTCGCATATAGTTTATCTAAAATTATAACATGCGGTTCATAACAAAAATTTGATTCGAAATACCAAGTGTGTGGTATTAAATTATTCATAAAAAAATGCTTTTTCCAAATATGCTAATGAGCCACCCTTGTTCCATTTTAAAAAATTGAGTTATGATTGAAAATAAACAATTAGGGCATCTTTTAACTGGCCAGGACAAAACACTAAAAGCATTGGACGATTAAATCTATTTTTCAGAGGCCCCTTCATTAAAAATTAGTGTTTTTAACATAGCTATGGCACTCTAGATTGAAATTTAAAATACGATTTTTTCTTAAGTGAGAATGTCAAAAGTTGACATGTGATATGTCATTCTATTCAGAATGTCATTTTCTATCGAATAAAGTAAAAAAATACCGAGGGTGCCATTTAAAAATGAAAAGTAGTCATTTCCGGTGAAACAAGAAGTGACCAAAAACAATTGAATGCGTCAATCATAATTTAGGTCATATAATACCATACCAAGTTTCGTTTTTTTATATGAAAAATTAAAAAAGTTATAGGGGGTGAACCACTTTTAAGACGCACTCGGTATTAAGCTTAAAAATATTTCATTAAAATTATTCAAAAAAACTCACATATTGTGATATTAATGACATAGTTAAAATATATTTTACCTCGCACAAACTAATTATTATTAAGTACTATTTACTATTGTAAAATGATATATTAACAAATTAGTAATATTATTTTTTAACTTGTATTATTCTTTATCCTTTAGTAGAATAATTTGGTTTAATATTAAAGTCAAAGGATGAATTAGGGCACCATACTGACTTGTAACATACAATATGATCAAATAATCTTATGATCAAGCGTGCCTTAGCCTACAATGGAAATTAGCCTACTGTAACACTAGGTATAGAACTTACAAAATATTCCATTAGTATATATAAAAATAATATTTTTGATAATCCCTTAAATGAAAATGACGTCAATGTAAATATACAGTAATTTCAAGTCGTTTATCTACTCTTTATAATTAATAAATGAGTAATTAGTTAGTTGGTATGCATTGGTTGGGAAAGGCTTTCAATATCTAAAACACTTATTATTCATCAGTATCAAATTATATCAATAATCATAAATTATTGATATAATTTATTAATACTTGTAGACCTATATTTCACGGTAAATGAATAAATAAAATAATAAACTCAAAATTAAGAAAAACATTAAAATTATTTTAATTGAATTAAATTAAATCATGTTGAGCAATATCTAATAAACTCAGAAGTAAATATATATGTATACATACCTATTATGTTTAATTATTACTTTTAACAAATTATGGTTGGTGCCACACAATCTTTTTTTTGGTATGCTACAATGTTAACACCAAAATTTAGTCTTAGTATATTTTTAACAATTTTATATTAACAATATTTATATTAAATGCTGTTTTCTCAGATTTACTAAAAAATAGAAAACATCGGGATCTTTATTAGTGATCAAATTTGGAGCCGCGATAAATAAAGAGGCACTTGTTAGAAAACAGAGTCAACCATAGACTTAGAATAAAATATAGACTACACTATTTACATTTAAGCGCGGTCCAATATTAATTTTTGTAAACATGTTTACTCCTGGGTGCAGCTGACCTCGGCCGTCTGAGTCTTTCGCCTCCAGCCTATGTTGTCACGTCTAAAATATTATTAATATTTTTTTTGTTGTTCTACACATATATTGAGATATTAAAACTGTATTTTAATAAAGTAGTGTTTAATAGTAGAAAGATGTATTAAATAGTCCCTATACTACTAAATTATAAGTCGGAGACTATTTAAAAATGACAAATTCTTTACAATTTGGCAACACCCATCAATCGCCGGGTCGCCTGTTCATTCTTTATTCTCTCGTAGTAGAGCCATAGTAGAGTAAAGCACGTGTCGTAAAACCTTGTTGTCACAGTTTCTCCATGGCTATTTTATTGTTTTTATTGGATGTTTTGATTTTGTATTTTTTTGGATTCGATTTTCTTAGTGTGTAGTGTCGGTTTAGTGTTTATTTTGATTACTTTTATTTAAAAACTATAAAACATGGTTCGTCAGTGCCAAATTTGTAAGAAATTGGACTATTTAAGTCCTGGAACAACATTCCACAGGTAAGTCAAATTTACTATTTTGGCGTCAGTGGCGTTGTAGAAAGGCGCTTATTTAGATAATAATTTAGTAAATTATAAACCCTGGAAAATCTGTATTTTTTATATTTATCATTTACGTAAAGGTTCTTAC